TGCCAGATAGCTGTGTGGTCTCTGTTGGAAGGCTTCCTCCAACACAAATCCTATAATCATTAGGGGTCAGGATGCTGAGTTCTGGATGGCTCCCTGGGAACCAAACCCCTGTGGGGGCTGAACTCCATCCCCCTAGCATTTGCACCTTTGGAACCAGACAGAAAAAAGCACATTCCTCATTCCCCATTGACATTCGTAGGCAGCTGCTCCCGCCCTTTCCGAACTGTCCTTCGTAGGCTAAACCCCCTGCTTATCGCAACCCTTCTGATTTGGTGCCTGAATCCTCATTCCTTCCGGAGGCTTTTCTCTTTTGGTCCCCATTTTTGTTTGTATTTTAAGGAATCTTTGCAGACCAGATCTACAGATCTACTCATGCAAATGCATTTAGACATACTACTGGATGGACTATCCTTCTCTATGTGCCCTCCCCCAAATACACAGCACACGCCTTACCTGTGGGATATATATGCCAAGGCAATTTAGAAAGAAAAGACAGGGTGCCTGGGTGGCTCAGTAGTTAAGCATCTGCCTTTGGCTCAGGTCATGATCCCAGGGTCCTGGGATCCAGCCCCGCATTGGGCTCACTGCTCCGTGGGGAGCCTGCTTTTCCCTCTCCCACTCCACTCTGCTTATGTTCCCTCTCTCGCTGTATCTCTCTCTGTCAAATAAATAAATAAAATCTTTTTTTAAAAAAAAGAAAGAAATGTTGACAATAAGTGCTTACTCCATTTTATCTCTTTTTTTCCCCCTTTTGCTGAATCAAGGCTGGTGGTAAACAGTCCAGCCCAGCCATTGTCAAGCGCAGGAAGGAGGATGCCATTTCCCTACCTGTGGGCATGAAAGCTAAATCCACAAGCAGACTCCAGGGCTGCCTGGGGGCAAATGAGGACTGAGTGATGTGCAGGTTCACCTCTGAAGCCCTGTACCAGCAGTTGCTCCTGCACAAATTCTTTCTTTTCAATCAGTCCTTCCCAACACCCTGTGTCACCAGCAAAAGGAAGGAGACAGTAAGAAGAGAGAGGAGCTAGTCAGAGTAAGAGAGTGCATCAGGGCACTTCAAGTTCATAGAATCTCTACACCGAAGGATTATTTTAGGGCTTCTCTACCCACTCACATTACAGCACAAAGAACTGAAGCTCTGGGGATAAATGAATGACTTGTTCAAGGTCACAGTGGGCCACAGTTGAGATTCCCAGATCCTAACCAACACGAAATTCCCAAACTGCATTGGAGCCTCTAACCTCTCCGCCACCCATCCTAAGGCATCACTCAATTTTTTTTTCCCCTTTTTGGAAGTTTCCCCAGCCTTCTCTGAATCTACAGAGATGTGTTCCCTCCCTGATGTGACAGAATGTGTAATCTCCATCACTCATTGGCACCATGACATAGAATGCCCCCTGACATCCCATGAGTCATGGAACTTTGAGCTGGCAGGGTCATCGAAGGTCATGCCTTACTTTCAGACTCTCATATTTTAGCACCTGAGTGTAGCTGAAGTTCCTTTGAGAAATGTTCTCCTCATGTTGATGATTGCTGTATTTCTCTCCAGGACCCCGCACCATGCTCTACCTAAATGTAACCATATGTATGCCAGCGCATATTTGCCAATATGCAACTACCAAGAACGTAGCTATCTGGTAGAATGAGATTCCAGCGCCAGGTCTGCCATTTCCCCACCGTGTGACCTTGTACTAGGCACCTGACCTCTCCAAAAATGATTCCTTAATCTGTAAAATGGGAAGAACAGAAATGCCCACTTCATATATTTTATGTAAATTAATAATAAAACGCAAGAGTAAACCTCTTAGCACCTCATTAAAGATTCAGTAACTATTTGCTATCCCTTGATCACTTTAAAGGAAATTCGCTTTGTCAGTGCCATTGACTTACGATCAGAATCTAAAAAGAGGCCCAGACACCGAAACTTGGGGGAAATTTCAGCTCTGGTGTAAACTTCCATCTACATAAAGCAGGCTGGAACATGATGGGAGAGGAGAAATATGAGCAGGCATTATCAATAATAGAGCCAATAACTCAAACAAGAGAGGCAGAATGGAGGGAGATAGGGCCAGGTATGCAGGTGACTTTGGTGAATGCGGATGGTAGGCAACGCATGCAAAATAACCTTGAGGTCCCCCAACTAGACAGACAGTAAAACGGGAATTCTATCTTTTATGTGTTTGTTCACCCCCCCCCCCCCACCCTTTACTGCCACGGACATTTTCAAACCACCAACTCTGGGTCCACAACCCAAAGCATGGCCCGAGGGCTTTGGCAGACACTATCACCCCCTAGTGGTGGCTCCACACACCACATTATTGGCAGGATTTGGCATTTACGGACTGCATAGGCAACCGCGGCGCGTGCCATCTCCAAATCCCTTGAACTGGCCAGGAAGTAGTGAAAGACTCGCTCAACACAGCGGAGACAAACACTAGGCAAGGCTGTTTCAAAGGTCTGGGGATGAAATGATGGGATGCAGCTACCCTGGGACCTTGGGAAAGATAAGGCCATAAATGACTCATAGTACCTACCCACCCCCACCCCCCAACACACACCGGCCCTCCTTTGCAGCCAGCCTGGCCCTCCCAGAGCTCATTGTGCACTCCATGTTTACGTGCAAACAGTGGAAGACCAACACAAATAAAAAACCCACGTCTCCCTACACAGCTCCTGCTATACTCGGCCATCTGGTGACTACCTCGCTAGCCAAATCCCTGGAGGGAGTGCCTTGAGCTGCCAGTCCAGGGCGCTGGGGGGAGAAGAAGGAGGCGGGACACAATTCCCTACACGCTTCTAAAGGGCTCAGAGCTGCCAAGGGGGACAGCAACCCCCCACTCCTCAGCAGGCAGTCCCCAGGCGCCAGGCTCAGCTGCTGTGCGTCAGAGAAGGCGGAAGGCTCCAAGTGGCGGGCGCCAGGGGACTCTCCAGCCGAAGCTGGAGCCCCGGGGGATTCAAGACTTCCAGCTCCTCACGCAGCTCCCCACTCAGCTTGCCCCAGCTCCCAGGCACCCATTCCCTCTTGAAAGCCAAAGTTTAAAAAGGCACAGATTGCCAGCTTCCGGCGACTCCTATAGCTAACTGGACCCGGCCCTCCACATCCTCGGGGAGTTGGAATGCTCTGGGGGTCCTAGCTCCCAAGTCCTGCCATACCCAAGAATGTCCCCCTTTACGCCCTTATTTGAACAGCCGTTTAGGAAGATTCCCACTCCTGACCTCTCAGGACACCCCGGAGTAGAGAGATCACGCTGGTGGAAGAGGAAGGGTGGAACTGGAAGTGGTGTCTAAGGGAACCCTTCGTGGCTCCGGAAGGACCCTTCCCTGCAAGGAGGCGGTAGAGTTAGCCCTGAGCCCAAGGTTAGCCTTTCGCCCTAAGGAACCCCATCTCCACGCTCATCCCCTTCCTTGGAAATGGGCAGGCCCACAGGTGCACGTGGGAAGAGCTAGTGGTGTGTGTGTGCATGTGTGTGCCCGTGCGTGCGTGCTTGAGAGAGAGTGTGTGTCGCACGCTAGACGCGCCGCCGCGGGAAGTCCCCAGGGAACCTGCGAGGCGCTCTCCCACCGCGCCTCCCGGAAAGCTCAGCTATCTCAGGTTACAGCCAGCTGGGGAGAGCCCCGGGGCCAGAAGCTGCGACCACAAGTGGGCCTGGCACTCCCTCAAATCTCCGGAGGCGGCCAGCGTGAAAGGGAAGGGGGGCGAGGGTCACAAAAATACATTTAAAAATAGTATGGCTCCCCGGAGAGTGGCTTCTAGTCTATTGATTAGGCTTTGGGGCTTCTCAGGCAAGCAAAGAGTTAAACTCGGAGGTTCAAGCCGGGATCCCGAAGGCGCCTCACCCGCGAGATGCCGGAGCCGAGCCGGATCCCGAGAAGGCACGGATCCCGGGAAGAAGAGCTCGGGAGTCTCCGGGCGAGCCCCCGGCGCCTTCAGGCGCTGTTGTTGGCCAGACTCCGACAACCAATCGCGCCCCGCGCCCCCAAAAGGGGAGGGGAGCGAGCGATCCGCGAGCGCGGGAGAGCTAAGGGGGAACATTTTTGTAAACGCTCTCCGAGATAATTAAGCTATCAATTACCGGGGTGGGAAATCAGCCGCGCTTCCCACAGCTCCTCGCAAGGGCCGACTCCTCCGGGATTGGCGCTGGGAACCAGCAGGCAGCAAGCTGCTGGCGAACTTTCCGATTAACTTTTCCATTTGAGCCCCCACCCCACCCCCACCCTTTCCCTCTTCGCTTCCGTGTTCTCGCCTTTAAGTTATTATTATTAGCCCAGTGAGTGAGCAGCGAGGACAAACATGTTCTCCCCTGGGAGGGGGCTAGAAATGCGACTGCGACGAGGAGGGTGGGGGAGAGAAGCAGAGAATCTGGAAGTGGAGACCTCGGGCTCAGAAGCCCACTCCTCAGAAATCACTCAATCCTCCCCAGCCCCATTTCACAGATGGCCAAAACTGAGGCCCGGAGAGGGGAAGCGACTTGGCCAAGGTCACGCAACCCACACGGAGATCGAGTTTATGAGGGTTGGGTGATGCCACACGGAGCTTCTCCACTCCGAATCTCCAGGAAATCTACGGGGAAGAGTGGACCCTCCAAGTCCGAGGCGAGAGTGAGGGGGCGGTAACCGCGGGCGGCCAGTGACCGTGCCCCGAGCAGCCGCGGGCGGCTGGACCACCCGGGTCCCCAGCTCAAGCACACTCAGCCATCTGGGTTTTCCGGCGTCGGGGACGCATCACCGCAGAGCTCAACGCCTGGTCCGAGACACTGGGGGCCAGGTCCCCACTGCGGGAGCGTTGGCACGCCCCCGAGCTCCCGCCAAGCACTCTTGGGCACCTCCTGCCCATACTGCTTTCCAACCACCTGTACGCCCTCCGGGCCCCTCGGCTGCCCTCTCCCAGCCTCGCTCGGGGCAGCCCGGGGCGGGGATCCCCAGGGCACCCCCACCCGTCCGGTTTCACTTAGGGGCTCCCGGCTCCTTGGGATCCCGCGTGTGCCGGGGCCCAGCCTCACCCAGGGTGAAGAAGGGCAGCTCGGTGTTGTCCAGGTCGTCTTGCACCGCGATGCGCCCCGGCAGCTCGTTACGCACAAAGAGCAGGAGGCGCGACTCGGCGGCGGTGCCCGCGGAGCCGGCGGAGCCCGAGGACGCGGCGGCGGCCCCGGCCCCGGCCCCGGCCCCGGCCCCGGCGCGGGCGCCGCTCCAGCCGATGTCGCTCTCCCGCAGGGCGGGCAGCGTGGACACCGTGACGGTCTTGAGCCGGCATGGGCTGTCGGGCTCCCGCGAGGCGGCGGCCGTGGCGCCGGCCAGCAGCGGCCGCAGGAACAGGAACAGCAGCAGCGGCGGCGGCGCCGGGTGGAAGCCGAGCCTCCGCCGCCCCCGGAGCCCCGAGCTGGGGCCGGGGCTGCGCCGGGCGCCGGCGGCGGCCATGGCGGGAGGGGCTGCGGTGCTGCGAGCGGCGGCGGCGGCGGCGAAGGAGGAGGAAGAGGAAGCGGCGGCGGCGGCGGAGCTAACCAGGACGCCGGAGCCAAGGAGCCGTGGGAGCCGCTCGCCAGCAGCCCCAGCTCCCGGCTCCGCCTCCCGATCGGCCCTGGACCGCCCCCCGCACCGCCTCCCCAGGCCCCGCCGCCCGCCCCCCCCGGCTTCCCCCCGCAGACCCCGGGCGTTCCGGAGGCTCCGCCCGGCCTCGTGCAAATCCCAGTCGCCCCCTCTCCCTTCCCAGGATCCCCCAATGCCACCCTCACCACACCACCCTCTCCAAATTCTCAAGACTTAAGGACCCCTCGCGCCTCCTCTAATTCCTCCAGGCTCAACCCAGCTCGCCCAGCTTCACCCCACCCCTGGCTCGCCCTCCTCGGGCTGCACCTGGGGGCGCGCCTTCTCCCTGCCGGCTCCAAGCCCCGCCCTCCTGGGGGTAGGGGGCGCCTCTTGATGGCCAAGGCTTAACTTTGTCTCCCTCCCCACAAGCTCAGTAGCAAGTCCTGTACCCTTTTCTCGTCCCTGAAATAATTCCTTAGGATCTCAGAGCCCCCTCCTCACCCACTTGCCCACAGCTCACGTATTCAATCCCCCGACACCAGGATCCCACCTCTCTCCCCCACCCAGGCCTCCGCGGTGGCATTAAATGCTTACAGACTGAGGGGTGTCACACTCCACGCTCTAGCCCCCAAATTGACTCTGGCCAGGAAGCTCTGGCCCCCTAGCTGCCTCCCTGCAAGCCCGCCCACTCTTGCGCTTGTATTTTGGATCCCAACTCCGAGCTCTGCTTGGCTGCTTCTGTTCTCTGTGTGAAATTCCTGAAAAGGGTGCGAGGTAGAGACCTACTACTCTGTCTGCTTCGGGCTCCCACGGGCTCCTACACCCTCTGCCCCATTCAGAGGAGGGGGTCTGTTCACCAATTCTTTACCCCAGTCCTTCTAGATTCAAGTTGATCTGTGAACCTAGGCCCTCAGACAACAATGGCAGCCTTTGGCCTTGGGCTGATTCTGTCTGACCCACCTACCTGGATCCTCCAGGGAGCCATCCCCTCTGCGGGGATCCGGTACTCAAGCAGCCCCCTTCCCCACCCCCCTCACCTTTCTTGTCTCTCCTCGCTCTGTTTTTTCTTTCATCTCTCCACTCATTTCATTCCTCTTCATCTTGACTTTAATCTTACAAATGCTTCCTCCCTATAATTTGTGAGACATTCCCCATTCTCTGTATTCCTTGCCCATCTGCACTTTTTTGTGGGGTCTCTGGGCACTAACTTCTCTCTTCTTAGTTCTTCCCTCTTCTGCCTCTTTTCTCCTTTCTGTCTTTAACCCTTCACACGAATTGCCTTTTTCCCTCTCCCATCACATTTTATTTACTGTTTTATGACTTTGAATAAAGGCAGAAGACTGAAAAGAAGGAAAAATCAAACCCTATGTTGTGACCTTGGACTTAATACTGCTTATGAAGCATTCTCCTAGTGCTAGGCAAGTACCTATGTTAGCTATTATACATAACCATAATTCAGTGAGATGAGTATTATGATTCCCATTTTTCAGATGAAGAAACTGAGATCAGGAGGTCCGGGAGGTGAAGGGACATCCCAAGGTCATATAGCTGGTGAGCAAAAGAGCTGAGATCTGAACTCCAGGTTCCAAAGCCTTGGCTGTTTCTATTAAATCATCCTGTCCTCAGTGACCTTGGAAAAACCCACCTATGGGAGATGTGAAAGGCACATCTGCATGAGTGCATTTGGGTCTGTTTCAGCTCTGAGGTTTGTAAGGTGTGCTTCTCCTGTCTCAGTTTACTAATCTGTGAACCCAAAAGGAGGGGGAGAGGTGGAATCTGGCCTTTCAAGTCCTCTGATTCTAAATCGTCTCTTGCCTCTCTGGTGCCTGCTCCAGTTCATTTACTCCTCCAAAATATGTCGTCTTGCCTCCCTCAGTCTCTCCTTTGTACCCTTACAATCCGCCACTATCCTCTGCAATGGGGCTTTCTGATTCTCTATGCCCCTTTCTTCAAATATGCTGACATAGTCCATTTATAGAAGTGCACACCAGGAAAAAAGGGCTCCCTTATGTAAGGCAGAGTCTGTGCAAGTCCTTCATGGACCTCTGGTACAAAGGCCCGTCGAATGCGACCAACACTTTCATTCATTCATTCACCACCAAATATCCAGGGCTCCTACCAGGCACTATATGGGGATGCAGAAATGGATAAACACAGCTCCTGCCCTTGGAGAGTTTATAATGATGGGGGCATGGGGTGTGGGGATGAGATGAGCACAGAAATATCTCAAATACCAGGCAGGCAGGCAGACATGTGTTTTTTTAATGAGGTGTTTTGACACTTATGCTTGGAGAAATCAAAGAAAGCTTCCCAGAGGAGGTGGCCTCAGAGTTGAACCATGAAGGACTAGAAGCTTGGGGGTAGACATTCCCGGTTAAAGCTGGCATTTGGCATTCTTTGCAACTGTTTGGTATCTGAACGAATCCCTTCCCTACGTCAGAGGGTGCTTCACTCTCCGAGGCACAGCCCACCTCCCACGAAGAGGCTAAAATTTCCAGGTACCTTCTCAGCTTCCACCACAGCTAGGACTTGGGCACGTGACTCAGAATTCACCAATCAGATTCAGCCACCCCAGAGGCTGGAAGGAATCAGGCAGAATCCCCCTGGGGACCAAAGTGGCACTACTTGGGGCAGTTACATCCAGATTTTATTGCCAGAGGAAATGGGTTTTAACGGCACTGTCTTGGACCACAGGGGTGCCACTGGGGTCAAGAGTGAATCGCCCTGTTTATGCCTACAGCAACGGGAACAGTAGTATCTGTGCTGCGATTTGGAGTGGCGCTCTTGACTTCACGGACTCTGCCCGGATCCCATGCCCTCGTGGAGATTCTAAGTAATCTAGTATCACTTTACTGAATTCTGTTTCTGCTTAAATTATCCAGAATCGGTATCAGTTGCTTGCAACTAAGACACCTGCCTGAGAACACAGAAATTGGAAACAAATGGAGGGTAGCGAGGGCAGAGCTGATGAAGGGAAAAGGGGGAAGTTCAGTGAAGGGGAGAGGGAGTAATTGAAGACAAGACCAAAAAGGCAGTCAAGGGATTTGCTGTTCATTTTGGAGAGGACCAACTTTAGCTAGTAGGTAGTGTAGAATCTGGCACGGCCACAGGAAAAGAACTCCTATTTCTGAACACATACTCTGCAACTTCAAAACTTTATGTGGTCTCTCAGTGCATGATGATAACAATCCCTGCCTTCCGGTGGTTGTGGGGCTTCAGAAGTCATTATGCCAAGTGCTTAGCATTCTAGGTGCTCAATAAATTATATCTGCTTCTTTGATGTGTCATCCCAACAACATCTGGAGTTAAGTCTTGTTATCCCCATTTAATAGATGTGGAGTTTGAGGCTCAGGGAAGCTAAGACACTTGACTTTGATACTTATCAGGGGTAAAACACAAGTCGGTTTGACTCTCAATCCCTGACCCACTGCACAGGACAAGGCTTCCTCATCTCTTCCAAGTAGTGTGACTTCTCGGTTCATACTCCACAATGTCCTATCTCGTGGTAATGGCACCACTCTTGTCCCCCTCAGCCTCTCTCTCGCCTTCTCTCCCCTTCCCTCACTCCCATTTCATTATTGATGTAACTTACTGTGTTATAGGGTGCCCTTGTGTCCCCATCTCTGACTCCACTGGTCTCAAATTTCTTTTCATTCTCCTTCCCTGTCCTCTCAGCCAATCCTTCTTTTTCCTTCATCTTTCAGAGTTTGCCTCTCTGAGTTGTCATTTTGTAACATTTTTTTCTTTACTCCCCCTACCCTATATTCTGTTTCTTTTTTTTTTTTAATTTCCGTCTATCCATACCATGTGACTGAGGCAGCTTAGTGTAGTTGGAAAAGCAGGGACTGGGGAGGCATACAGGCTTTGGTTTGGATAACATCTTTGCTATTTATCTACTGGATCAAGTCAGTTAATAATTGCCCCTATGAGACCTTTCATTTTCTCATTTGTGAAATGGGGAAAGTAGTACCTACTTCTCAGGATCATGATGGGAATGAAATGAGATCACATGTCTGAAAATGTCTAGTCTATATTAGGTTCTCATTAATGTTCTAAGCAAATCTAAACATCTTATGGCATCTCCCTCACTCTTCTCCTCTTCAGTCCTGTCTAACAAGCCCCTCACGACCGCCACTCTGTTCTAGCCATAGGTATCTCTTTTCTATTCCCAGAATGTTCCAAGCTCTTGTTGTCCCAGTGTTTTCACACAGGCTCTTTCCTTCTGCCTGGAGAGATCTCCCTCTAGACTTCACCTTGTTACATTTTACTTACCTGTGTCAGCTAATAAAACAATTTCCCTAAAATAACTAACCACCCAGTCTAAGCTAACCTGAGCACTAACATAGGATAGAGACGCAAAGCAAGTACATTGTCAATGAATGAGCACATACTTATTGGCTTTTTACTCTAAGACAGGTATTGTACTAGGCACTAGTCGTAATTCTGCAGTGAAGAAAACTGCATCCTTCCGGTTTTCTACTATGAGTGCATTATCCTCCCTCTGTTCATGTGTCTGTCCCTCCCTCCCTCCTTTCCTTCCTTCCCTCTTTCCCAGCTTCCCATGATTCAAGTAAATTTTCTTAAGTAGGCTCCATGCCAGTGTGGAACCCAATGCCAGGCTTCAACTCAAGACCAAGAGATGGAGACCTCAGCTGAGATCGAGACTCTGACACTTAATGGATTGAGCCACCCAGGTGCCCCATCAAGTACGTTTTTTTAAGTCTTTCTTCTTTAAGCCTCGAGATGACCTCTCGAACATAAACTCCAGCTCAGGAGGAAAGCTTGCTATCTCTCCTGCTCCATCTCTGCTCTATCTGAGCTCCATCTCCCATCCATCCTCCTCGAACACACAAATCCCCACTATTTGTTTTCTCTCATTTCCATCATCCCCCTCTGCAACTCACATTGTCCCTTTAATCCTGCCTTGCTCGCTGACTCCATTCATCACCTGGCATATTGCTTCTTTTTCTACCCTTCAGCCACTTCCCCCCCACCCCC